ATGGCAGTGGGAGAGGAGAAGTGGGCCTGTGAGGCCTCAGGATGGGCCAACGCAGCTTGCCAGCTTACCATAACTGGCACTATCTTGGCTGGCCAGCAAGTCATTTTGGTGGCCCATCAGCTGCAGCGTACATAGCCCAGGATAGGACAGGACACTGTTTGCAGTAACACCAAGAGGGACAGCCCTGAGAGCAGAGACCAGACCAGCTTCCAGGGACACAGATCCCCAATTTATACAAAACAGAGACAGCTGAGTGGCAGCAGTAGTGATTGTGGGACAGTTAGCTTCCTCTGAGCAGGTGTTTGGCTTGGGCCGAGTCTATTCCCATGCAGACCGCAGCTGGATTCTCAGCACTCTGGTAAAGTCCTGGCAAATTAGTCCCTGGATCAAGGACACCTGCAGCTCAGACCCCATGTGCTTTGGCCAGACTTCACTGACTGCGTAAGCCCAAGCACAAAGCTATACCTGGCCTTGGAGAGAGAGAAAGACCTCCCCCACTTTGAGCAAGATGGCACAAACTCTCCCCTTTCCTCCCCTCTGGGTGAAGACTGGAGGACACTGGGAAAAGGAAGCCTTCCTGTTCCAGGCATGCCATCTCTGCCATTGCCTTGGGCTAGGCAGCAGTTTGCCATTCATGGAAGCAGCTAAAGCTCCCTCCTTCCATTTTTATTGTGACACTGGCTTCAGCTGGATTTAGCAGAGACATTTGAGAAGGCTGCTTTCTGCTAAGCTCTGCCAGGTCCCCATCAGGGACTTCCCAGGCTTCCGTGTGCACCTCTGGACACAGACACGGCACACTCTGTTCCCAGCAACTCCCCCCACACCAGCTTTCCAGGATGGGAATACAGGCCAAGAGGAACCACTTTCCGACACAGGCTCTGCTACTCGAGTAGCAGAGCATGGAAATCAGACAGATCTTATAACGGCTACAAACAGGTAAAGTGTCATGTGAATTCAGTCTTAATACAAAACAGAATGCCATAAATCTGTCTCCAAGACACAGAACAGCTTGACATAGACCCACGCGCCACTGTTCTCACATCTGCCTGCAGTAGTTGCCACTGCAGCATAAGGACTGTAACGACAGCAGATGCTGAAGCACAGAGGCGGAAGCAATAATCACAGTACAGCTCTGTTGGCCTGGGTTCTGTTAGAAACACAAGGAAGAAGCCAATGAGCCAAACCCACTGAGACAGAAATAGGATTGTCAGCTGTCGGGGAGGGGCTGGCAGGTTGCGAGAAGGGGAAACTCAGCAGAAAGACACAAGCTTTGCAACAAACCACTGGTCCTTTACCCTACTACAAGCTCATGGCAAGACAGAGAGGAAAACCAGCACCATCCCGAACTCAGAGACTTCTCTTAGATAGTTCTTCATTGCGGAGCATCTCTGTGCTGCTCGGTTAACGAACAAACGGGACCAGCTGGGAAAGCATGCGAGCAGAGCAGTGGGAGCAAGGGTGATCCTGACAACGAACAGCTCCCAGTGGCAGAGCTCAGCCTAGTCTGTTACCCAGAGGTCCAGCTCCTCAAGGGCAGAAGGCTATGCTAGAGCTACAAAGATCCAGTGTCTAGCACCAGTTATGTGCACTGCATGGTGGATTTTCAAACATGCCTCAGTGACTTGCAATAGGGCTCGTGCTGCTAAGTCACTTCTGAAGATCCTTCCATGCACCCGCATCTCACATGACAAGCAGGGGCAAGATCAAGCAAACCTCGCCTAAAAATGAGGAGGCTTTGGGTCCACGAGCAGGATATAATGCAGCAGAAAAGGCCTGGCAGAACCACTGAGCCTCACATGGGTTCCTTACCCTAACCAGCTGCTGCCTCCAACAGAAATCACACAGCACACGCTAAAAGGGCACTAGGACTACAGGAGCTTAAGGGAACACCAGGCTCATGTTCAGGGGGCTGGCTGAGAGCAGACCGCTGCAAAGGCTTGTGTGTGATAAACTTCAGTGTGCTTTGTATTAGCAAATCAGAGAGCAGAGTAAGCATTCAGCTATCTCCCTGGGTCACCTTTATTGCCCTGAACAGAGGAACAGACTTCTGAGAAGCTAACAGAGGCTCAATCCTACTCCCACTGCAATCACTGGGAGTTTGGCTGTCTACTCTGTGGAAGCAGCACCAAAGGACATACCAAGGGTCCACAGCTACAGGCTAAGGCTGTCCTACACAGATGCATTGCACAGATGGGAAGTTTTCTATTCCAGTTGTCTTGTTAAATGTGTAACTTATTACTATTTAAATTCTTAAATACATACCAGAGATACACAGGAAGTGAAAGTGGCCCAGCCAATATTACCATGACAACCTTTATTCTTTTAATTGCCTGCTTTTTGGCAATTTCAAAAAAAAAAAGGAAAACTGGTTTTAATTTCCTTTTTGTTTTTGCTTTTTAAAAAAGACCCAAACAGAAATTGCCTCTGCTTAGTAGCTTCAGTTCAGATGGGATCGTCTATGCTCTTAGAACTTGTTTAGTTTTAAGTCCCCCTTCAATTTTAGGAAAGATGCCAAGCCTCAGGACAATGTGTGACGAGCTTCAACTCTTCACTGTTTAAGTTATCTGCAGGAGAAATACCTAGTGGTCAGGCTAAAGGAGATTTCAGGGGTTTCAATTTGTATAGGGAGGTGCTGAGAGCCATTGAACCAAACTGTAAACCACTTTAAGCCAAGGAGCCACTGAACCAAACTGTAAACGACTTTAAGCCAAGACCTCTCTGGCTTCAAGATGAGGCTAGATAAGTTTATGGAGGGAATGGTTTGATGGGATAACGTGATTTTAGTCAATTAGGCAATAACGTGCCATCGCTGGTAAAATGTGGGTCCGGCTGGAGAATCTTGCCTGTATGCTCGGGGTTCTACTGATCGCCATATTTGGGGTCGGGAAGGAATTTTCCTCCAGGGTAGATTGGCAGAGGCCCTGGAGGTTTTTTGCCTTCCTCCGCAGCATAGGGCAGGGGTCGCAAGCTGGAGGATTCTCTGCGACTTGAAATCTTTAAATCACGATCTGGAGACTTCAACAGCTGAGATAAGGGAAATTGGGTGGGTCAGCTTTTGTGGCCTGCATCATGCAGGAGGTCAGACTAGATGACCATAATGGTCCCTTCTGACCTTAAAGTCTATGAGTCTATGAGCGCAGCAGCATCCTCAGAACCCCTAGTTCCAGCACCTATGCCAGATTTATCACACTGTTATAGCAACTGCAATGGCGGACTGAACTATGCTCCCGTTTCCCAACGGAGTTCTCCTTTCGGCTGAGATCAAGCATGGGAAGGAGGGGAAAACGGAGGTTACAACAGAAATGGTTCTGTTCTGCAACTTTAACTGGAGTGTTCGCTACCGTATCAGCAGCATCAGGGTCCAGAAGCCTCACAACAGAGCCCACTTTTACCAGACATCCAGCCCAGTTTCCAGAACCAAGAGATTCAGACAAGCAGTACAAAACCACCAAGCCTTCTGGGGAGTGCCAGCTCTGCAGCTACCCAGTACAAGTTTACACGGAGGCTGTATGTCTTTAGAGGGGAGAATCTGCAGCGTGGCATATAGAAACACGTCTGCTCCTCTAGGGCCTCCAGTCGACCCCTCCCCATTATGTCATGCCTTTGGGTAACCACCCACTCACAGCCCCATTTAGACCTTCATCCCCCAACAGCCCTCAGAACCCTATTCCATAAATTCCCCTGCTCACTGAAGTTCCTAAAGGGCTTCTGAAGGGAGTGGAGTCCAAGTGAGAGTTAAACAAGACCATCCTAGCACCGCGCAAGGTTGTTTCCCAAAGTTCAGTAGGGCCTCGGTTCTTATGTTTCTCCAAATATTTACATTTGAAAATGAATTCAGATTTTTTTATCCATTAATAGCTGTATGGAGAACGCAAGTTGGAAAGCTCTGCATCTCCAACTCCTGCCTCGCCTGAACCCATCTCCGAGAGCTTGGGTAACCCACTCCTTTTCATTTTAACTGGGTGGGGACTCTGCAGACAGGGTTTTCTTTCTATTGCTTTATCATGGCTGGGTGGAGTGCTTTGGAAAGGCTGCGTTTGAACCTGCCTAGCTCAGAGCCAGCACTGCTTGTCTTGGATTTGCCCAGGGCATCTTCCCAAATGCTGATTTGAGTTTGGTGATTGTGCTATCTTCCATTCCCTCCCCAGCACCTCTCTCACCTTGCACACAGGGCAGAACTGGCAACATTTAGCCTAGTGAAAACACCTGGGGTGATGACTCAGATAGCACTAGGAGCACCCTGTGTGATGGAAAAGTAAAGGGCTACAAGAGCTTCCCGCTTTCCCAAACGTCCCAAGATCCAGGACCCTCTGAATTAGCAGAGCACAGCGAGGCCTTTACACTCAACTCAATGGCATTTCTCTATCTGTCTGCAACATGATAACTTTTGAAAATCTCATCCGGGCTGTTCCAAAATTTCAGGGAATGTTTGAGGTATCAATGGGCAGAATACTACTCATTTTGGTGAAAATCATAAAACCGGAAGAACCTGTTTTCCACCAACCTAACTTATGATTCTACAGGTTGAGATACAGGGGCGAGGCAGTGATCTCCAGGTCAGGGCACCAGAGAGCCATCTCCGCCCGCAGCACCACACGGGCACTTTGTGGGCCTGGTTTGAGTGAAGATCAGGCTGCTACAAGCCCCTCACTCCCTACCCCCCCCCCACCACAAACCAGGTGTCCAAGCTGGGCAGTGCACCCACGGGGGGCAGGGAGGGGGAGGAGGTGGCTGAGTGTCCAGCTCTGCCTACATAATCAATGAAGCATGCAACCCTCTAGTATATTATTACAGCCCGTTCTTGGCTCCTGGGATGAGACCCAGTTATTGGGGTAATAGCCCCACCCTGGCGGGCTTCCTAGCCATCCCAGCAGAAGCAACAGCATCTTGTGACTCTCCATCATCTCAACCTTGAGACACGCTCACATGATGCTGGGACGTTTTCCCCCCTGACCCAGGGTGGGACAAATGCATAACTGATGCTCTAATGTTGCTCTCACCTCAGCATGGCCCCCAGGGGTCAGGGTCTTGTTGCAGCGCTCGCACTTCAAACAGAACTTGTGCCAGTCCTTGCCTAAAGAGGTCACTTTCTCGGCTGCAGGAAAGACAAGAGAAAAAGCAGGGTGAGCCAGCTTGGCTGGAGAGAGAAGGCAAAAAGCGAACATCTGCAGAACAGGGCCCGGCAGCCTCACTCCGAGCTAGAGGGCCAGGATTCAGGTATGGTGGAGTCTGCATCTAATGGCAATTACTGCTCTTAGCAAACATTACTAAACATACTAACTTTGTCTGCAGCACGAATTAATCACCTTGCTTCTCTTCTCTCCTGTAATATGACCTATTAGGGAAGCCTCACCTATCAGGGAAAGTTAAAGGACAAGACTGTGGAGGAAAAATTCATTGTCTGACTTTCACTCCAAAAGACCCCACAGCTCTCTACCAACTAGACAGAGGCACAGGAATCACTTGGCTCACTAACGAAACGCAGCCACCTCCAAGGTGGAAGACAGCAGTGGTTAAACTGTTCAGAGTGACACTTCCCCATACCATAAGGTCAGGAAGTGCAGAAGAATCCCCTGTTTGATGGAAAACTGCAGGGGCAAATTTAGGTCAGCAGAATTGTTATTCTGCAAGTATAAATGGTGCTTTACAAAAAACACACAAAAACAAAAGCTCTGCCGGATGAAGTCTACACTAAGCAGACTACAGTTCCCTGGAGCTAGATTTTAGCCAAGACTCTGGAGTCAACGGCTGATCAGGGCCAGCTCCAGGCACCAGCGAAGGAAGCAGGTGCCTGGGGCGGCCAATAGAAAGGGACGGCACTCCGTCCGTTATTGGGGCGGCATGTCCGGGTCTTCGGCGGCAGGTCCTTCACTCCCTCTCTTCCTCTTCGGTGGCACTTCGGCAGCAGCTCAATCAGGTTTTTCTTTCTTTTTTTTTCCTTCGCCACTTGTGGCGACAAAAAAGCTGGAGCCGGCCCTGCGGCTGACTCTTGTGAAAATAACCACAAACAGTCAAGACTTTGATTTTAAGCCTCATCTGTCAGCCTACCCTTCCTGCATCACAGCCCCCCAGCACCATGGTACGTCCTGGTGAAAGGAGCATCTCCTTACTGAATTGCTGACTCCTGATGCATTTCAGCGTGGCTCAGGGCTCCACCACAACACTGAGCAGACCTGACCATGATCTAAGGTGAGAATTTGCCCCTTTTCCTCCCATCAGCCCAATTCCCAGAGGGACATTCTCTCTGGTGAGAGCCTGACATGCATAACTGACAGAGACCGGTGGACGGAGACCACGACCAAAGCCCTTTTGAGACAGCTGGAGTGGGGAAGGTCCGAGGGCATTGCCAGAGGGCACTGCCAGCTGCCCCTCCTGCCTCACCAGTGCCCCCCACCCCCACCCCCCGCAGCACTGCCAGACTGCAGGGAGCTCAGGATCTCCTCGTACATAGGGTAGGTTTGGGGATCAGTCCTGACTGCCTGCTAGTCCCAGTGGATTTTTAAAATGTCTTCAGGAATGCAGCCTCCTGGGAGCCTCCAACAGTTCCAGATTTTCAGGAGAGTTCAGCACCCTGTGTTAAAATCGGGTGTCCCAGCAGGAGCTGCTGCGGGCAGAGCACTGCTAAAGGTCTGGCCCATCTTTAGTTGCTTAAACGGAGCTGGGCTCTTTGGAAAAAACTGGCCCCATCTGTGGGAGGGGGTCCCTTGGGAATCTGGGCCTTGGCAACTATTCCAACCATTTCATAATCTCACTGGCAGGAAAATACAGGCTGAACATCAGGGATGTTCCCTTTTATTTGTCGCTTCTCTTTATACCTCTTTGTACCACCCTAAAGAACATGCTGCTAGTCAAACATTTGTAGACTGTTAGCACTTCTGCTCCAACTCAGCCCCTTTAGTCATCTCTTAGGCCAGGGGTCCCCAATACGGTGCCCGCGGGCGCCATGACGCCCACCGGGGCATCTAAGTGCGCCCGCGTACTGGCCGGCGGACGAGCATCCGCTGAAATCCCACCGACAAGCAGCGTCATCCAGAGGCGTCGCCGCCAAAATGCCGCCGATTTTCGGCGGCGACACCTCTGGATGACGCTGCTCGGCGGCGGCATTTCGGCGGTGACACCTATTGATGTTGCTGCTTGTCGGCAGATGCTGGTCTGCCGCCACGGTCCTCCGTGGCTCGTCATCTGGGGCCCGCCAGACAAAAAAGGTTGGGGACCACTGTCTTAGGCTTTGTCTACACTATACAGCTTTTAGCGACACTGCCATGTCACTAATAAGGGTATGTCTACACTGCGAAGTCGTTGACAAACTTTTTGTCTTTTATGGGTACTTTAAACATCCCAGCCCCCACCCCCCGCGCGAAAGACAAAAGTTTTGCCGCTTTGTTGGCAGGAGCCCTCTTTTGTTTTGTCATTCAATTGGCAGTGTAGACAAAGCCTTAGCCAAGCTACACACTTTTAGTCTCTCCCCTATCAATCCATCCCTAAAGGCCCTGGGTTGTCAGCATTCTTGGAGAAGGAGCTCAGAAAGGGACACAGTCACCTAGGTGTGGTCACATCAGAGCCATATATAGTAAGGGACTATTAACCCCACACTTTGGAAAGCATCTGTGTATTCAGCCTAAAAAAAAAAAGTCACATTTGCTTGTGCAGTGCAGTCACATTACAAGTTCATCTCTCTGACCTTATGTCGGTCTCTCTATCGCTGCTCCCCAGACTTCTCCCACCTACTGAATAGGAATGGTTTTGATTGTTTATCCCAGATGCATTAGCTTAACCGGGCCAAGTGAAATCTCATTTTGTGTTTCCTGCCCATATATCTAGTATCTCTCCTCTCCCATTCAGCACATTAAACAAAGATGTTATATGAGACCAGATCCAGCAGCAACACCGATCCTATCTAGGCTTTGCAAGGTCACCGTTTGCTGTGCCTTCCACAAAGATTAAACATTACAAACTCTCTCCCCCCAGCCCTGCTGGCTAGAATGAGCAGAGCTTGCTAGAATTTTTCATTATCTGAAGCGAGGATACTTCTGTGCCTCCGGGAATCATGAGGGGAAAGCCACGCAGAAGACATGGGTTCTGCATTTAGTTTGCATGTGGCAAGGGTGCTGGTCTCTTACGTTGAAAGGCAGCAAGTTCAAGAGCCTGAGTCCAGGTTCTGGGAAAGTTCTGTGTCTTGTGGAAACGGGGCTCCTCTTGCTTGTTGACTACTTTTTCCCCCAAGGGAGCAAGCTGTTGTGCGAGGTCATCACCGCATGGAAGAGAAGGAATTCATAGATCCCAAGGCCAGAAGGGACTGTTGTGATCACCTAGTCTGACCTCCTGTACAACCCAGGCCAGAGACCTGCCCCCGAATAATTCCTAGAGCAGATCTTTTAGCAAAACATCCCATCTTGATTTTAAAATGGCCATGATGGAGAAAATTATCCCAATAGCTCATAACCCTCACTATTCAAATTTACAGCCTATTTCCAATCTGAATTTGTCTAGCTTCAACTTCCAGCCACTGGATCATGCTAGACCTTTTCTCTGCAAGATTGAAGAGCCCATTATTAAATATCTATTCCCCATGTCAGTCCCCCCTTAACCTTCTCTTTGTTAAACTAAATAAACCAGGCTCCTTGAGTCTCTTGCTACAAGGCATGGTTTCTATCCCTTAACTCATTCCCGTTGTTCTTCTCTGAACCCTCTCCAATTAATCAACATCCTTCTGAGGCCACTACTATGCCAGGCTTCGAAAGCCAGAGCAGCAACCTTGAACTGGACTCTGGTTTCAATGGGAAGCCCACACAGCGATTGTTGATCACACCAACCCATGTTAGTGAGCAGCCACGCTGCTGTGTTCTGGGCCACAGGTAGCTTCCCCAGAGCCCAAGGCTCCATTCACAGGTGTAACAGATGGCAGGAGCTGAGCCTTGAGGCTACAGTGTGCATCAGGTCGATGTCTAAAAGGACCAGGGTCATCCCCTGGCCAGGCGCAGAAGGAAGGGGGTGTTCCTCACCACCGTGGCTGTGTGTTCAGGCACAGGACAGAGCCAAGGAGCCCCTATGGCTGCAGACAGATCCAACAGGTGCTGTCTGTGGCAAGGTTCCTCCTCTTCCACCATCACCTCAGATGCATCAGGGCTCAGTCCGAACAGCTGCAATCCCTCCTTTGGACTGTGCTGTGAACATGCGCTGTCCAGGTACTCCTGGCACTGCGGCCCTGGTTCTCTGCTGGCTCTCCCTACAGCTTCAAGCATATTGGACAGGAGGGAAAAGAGGACTGAACCTTGGGACAACAGACAGTGAGGGCCCAGGGGGCTGAAGAATAAGTGCCCATAATGACTCTTGCTGTACCCTGCTCCACACCTGCCTCCTGCCATCCCTATGCTGTATGTCGCTATTTAGCATTACCCTCAGCACCCTTGGGCAGCTAGCAGGCCATGTCACTGCACTCACACCCACTCTGAGAAAGATGTGCTAAGACCCCAGGCCCCAAATGCCTTCCCTAGAAGACCATCTTCCACCCTCCCATCAGCCATTAGCTTTCTAAATTCACCGTGTTTGCCTGGGAGGATTAGCGATCCAATTCCCCCTTGCCTTACACCAGGTTAACACAACTGGAACCAGTGCATTATACCAGCACTCAACTGGAGCAATGCAGCAGGCAGACTGGTTGGCTCTGTGTTCCAGGCCCACTTCTCACTCAGGATTTTAGCACTCTCTTGCCGCTTAGATCTCTCGCCTGATGTTTGTCCACTTCCTTCAGCAGGGATTCAAGCTAGGTTTACCAGACAGAAACGGGTTGGGCCATGCTGCCTTTCTTTAGGACTGGTGTCTCATCGGCTTCCTTCAAACTCTTTGCTATCTCTTGGTTCTCTCCTTAGTGTGTGATGGATCATTTTCAGTGGCTCTGTAAACCCATAAGTCAGTTCCCACAGCACTATAACCTTGGGCACACGTCACCCACACCTGCAGACACGTATACAACATTCCCCCCCACCCTCCACAAGGGTTACTTCTTGGGGATTTTATCAACAGCTACCAGCATATTGACAAAACCTTCCTTATTCCTTTGCCCAGGCATCTGTGCTTTATATGGTTATTAAAAAG